ATATATATGTATGTATATGTGTTGCTAAGTTTAGCAATACAGCTAAACAGTAACTAAAATGCAGAAAGCACCGGAAATTGGCAGAATGCAACTGACACAAGTGTAAAAAGCTCAAACTAGCAGACAGAAGCACAAAAAAGCAGCATTTAACAGAAAAATAGAAAGAGCAGAAATATAGCTGAAAAATCAGAAAAAAGCTACAATTAGCATAAAGATCAGCAAACCTAACAGCCACAAGTTGAAATTAGCATCCAGATAGTAAAGTGCTGCAAAAAATGTAAAAATAGCAGATAAAGGCAAAAAAAATACAAAAAAGGGATAATTTGCTGTAAAATGGCTAAAAAATCCAAAATATGCGATAAAACAGCTAAAATGAAGCTGAAAATATTTTAATTAGCATAAGGAAGCATAAGGAGCACAATTTTGCTGAATTTAGCAGAAAAAATGTAATACCTACAAAAAAAGTATATTTAGCTTAAAAAGCTAAATTGAGCTATTAACAGCTGAACTAAACCTGAACCTAAAATTGCAGCAAATTAAGGAATACTTCAAAAAGCAACTGTAAGCAGAAACAGCTCAAATTACCAGAAAGAAGCAGAAAGAAGTTTTAAAAAATTGCAGAAGATTAGCAGAAAGAAGCCGAATTATAGCTGAAATAGCAGGAAAAAAAAAACTAAAGTTAGCAAAAAAGAGGCTAAAAGTAGCAGAAGGAAGTTAAACTGAACCAGAATAAAAGGAGTAATCTGTTGTAAAGATTTAGAAACATTTTGAGAGATTTTAAGGATGCTAAAAAGAACTCAATTCAATTTCAATGGGAAAAATGTGGCTGAAAAAGTGAAATAGCTAAAAAAGCATAAATAGCTGTATCACCAAAAGCCATAGCTGAAATGTTGTGATGGAGCTGAACGTTTTCATATATGAATTATTAAAATAGCACCAAAAATTGCAGAAAGAGATACGTGCCAAAAAACATACAGTAGAAAAAATGATCTCAATAGTGTGAATGCTTGTGAAGCTTGAAATTAGTAATGATATCAGCCAAAATGTATTATACATAATAATATCAAATATTAGTGGTGTAACAATACACCTACAGTAAGTAATGTTTGGTTTGTTTGTTTTCCAACAAACTATAAATCTTTCAGGAACAGACAAAAAAGAAAGGAAGGCTCTAAAGTAGCAGCTGATAGGATTTGTCAACTAATAACTACATTTTAATCCAACCTGAGTAACCCATGAAGAACAATAAAAGGTGCCTCTTAAGAAAATTTTTCTAAAACTTAAATGAACTAAAATAAAAACCAAGGAATTTTTGCTTAAATAATTTTACCCAGATCTCATGGAAAAATAAAAAGACAAAACTTAACATCTCCTGATGTGAAAAGTAAGATGATAATTTACTAACAAGATAAATAAATAAAATGTAAAACACTCTAACTACTCAGCCAACAGAGAGCCTCGTGTGCTTAAAAAAAGCCTGATTTCAGGCATTATGTATACATTTAATAATGGCTTACCCCAGCAGTTTTTAAAGTGTTGCTTAAATGATACAACAGCCTGCCATACATGCTTGTTGTTTTCTAATGTTTCCATTGTTTTTTTGTGGAGTTAAATATGACAGTTAAACAAGTATTAATACTGTATGTTTTTCAATAAGATCTCATACAAATAAAATAATCTCCCTTTTTATTTAGAGACAAAAGAAACTTTTTTGTATTTTATGTTTATCAATAACATTTACCTGATACCTGAGTTCCTCCTCCCAATGCTGCGCATCCCTCTGCTCCTGCTGCTGCCTTCTCCGCGCCCTGACACACACACACACACACACACGCACGCACGCACGCACGCACACACACACACACACACACACACACACACACACACACA